AATTAGTTATAGTTATATATATATATATATATATATATATATATATATATATATATATATATATATATATATATATATATATATATATATATATATATATATATATATATATATATATATATAAATAAAATTATATATATATATATATATATATATATATATTTTTTCTTTTTCTTGGCGCGTGGACGAGTGATTAGAACGTTCGCATTCTGACCACGAGACCCGTTTTCGAATCTCACCATGGTCGCTTTGTAAGGAAGGCGACTTCCTGATGTTATCAGAATGAATTGAGGTCGATCCCAGCGTGCGGCACCTTCGGGAAGTGCCTGAAAAGCATACCACTGGTTGACCCAAGCCTTATGCATAAAATTGCGTAGACGGAACTCTTAAGGGCCGTCGATAGCCGTGCTAGTAAAAAAGCACAAGTACTGGCCTTGTTCAAATTGTTGATCAAGCTAGCTAACACCCTCTCTCCCAGAAACAGTAACTAAGTTGCTGTATAAACCACAGATGGGCTCTGTGTAGTGTGTGTGAAGTAAACAAAAATATGCCTGAGCGAGTGTCTATTTCGATTGATCAGCTATTAATATTATCTATGTATATGTTAAAAACCTCTCCTTTCAAGAGCTAAGCTGATTTGATTTTTACCGCTTATCAAATTTTTTCTACGTTATTTAAAACCAGAAGAATTTTTTTTAGAATTTGTGGGAGATAATAATCATTTACCGATAAACGTCTTACTAATTTACCCATACTGGGGAAGAAGAGATGGATTGAGGATAGCGCACTGGAACAGCGTTGACCGTTGAAAAGGCAAGCAACATACTTAGAAGCAGGAAAAAAGGGAATTGAAAGGTTGCGTAACATCAGTCATTCTATATTGCAGTGAATAATCGACAATCTCCTCGCAAATGGACAAGTAATATAAAGCAACAGAAACTTGGTTCCACAGAAAGATGGTGAGAGCATCATGGCCTTAGTGTGCGATCAACGATGAAGATTTAGAGAAAAGAGAAACTTTAGACACATGGCACAGTGGATAAAGGCTTTTGTTAGATCTAGTGACAGGACCCAAAGAGTGTGTGTTCAATACATGGTTAAGGCGGTAGAGAACTTGGAGAGGGAAATTAACAGGAGATAACTGATAACTGACATCCATTATACATGGCATGTGGAACTAGAACAGTCTATCCCAGTGAGCGAAATAAAGGGTTCAGTTCGACATTTCAACCACCTGAAGAAGGCCGGAGCGTACAACGGCCAAAACGTTTTAATAAATATAGCGACAAAGATGAGGACAATAGTCCGAATAATGTAAATAATATACCTTGAGCTTGATTTAAATAAATCCAAGAAAATGGAAACTTGACATCAAATCTTAGCACTTGACCCAAATTATTGTAATTAAAGGATTCATGTGATCTCGACGAAGTCACCAATTTCATATAAGAATTATTTCATAATTTTGGCGAATATCAGTCGCCTAAGAGGTCAGTAAACACAAAAAATCCAGACAGAATGGAACGGAATTGTCTAAATCGCTGACGGTATGCGGGGAGGGAAGCTCCTCTGTCTGCTACAACCGAAGAATAATATCAAACTTATTTTAAAAATCTTCAGGCGCTGCCGACCGGAAAGGAAAAGATACTTGCAAAACGCGGATAAAATGTTGTGTCATTCTCTAAGTATGAAGACAACAATTGCTCAATAGAGCGGAAGGCCTTCCGGACATTATTGTACTTTTTTACGTTTCCTTCCGGCGTACTTTTTGGGTATTTTATGTTTGTTTTTATCTTGTCATCAAAGTTAGTCGTGTTTCTTTTGTATTCTTTCGCATTATTTATTCATTTTTAACAAAAAGTAAAAGTTTACTTTTAAAACAAAGTTTCTTTACCATATAACTACTTGCTGATTTAATTCTGCTTCTTTTTGATAAATAAAACACATAAGCAAATCTATACCCATTAACAAAAATGTAGGATATTCAATCCACCCAATGTAAAACAAAATGACTACGGTCATGTTATTTGTCAGGGACAAATCTTTTCAATGTCATATTAAAAACCTATCCTCTCAGAGCTAAGCTGGGGGGATTAGTTTTGAATATTGTATCATGTAAGTTGGTAACTTTTGAATTCTTGTAGAGCTAATGCTGTAAATTATCAACATTTTCCATCCGCGTCCTTTTTTTTACTGCCTTACTCCGTTGTTTTACACTTCGAGAATTTTTTTTTTATGGCTTCGTTTTCTACGGTTTATCAATACTTTGTTGGTTATTTAAAGCCATAAAATACTTTTAAATGTTAAATGCTTCTTTTAGTTAATGGTGGTTTTAGAGATGCAAGTATTACTAATAGATGAGGCTGATTAGGTGGATTCATACGTCTCCTAAGGTTATTTGCGCCTAAGGGATTATAAAAATCCTAACTGCAATTTGAACTCGGCTAGCCTATTTCCAATCCCGAGCTATTATCCATTACGTCAACCGCATATCCAAGTTTACAGCAACTGGTAAGCGGTTACCAATCTAGGTACTGTCAAGGTCCGACGTTTCTTAACTTCTCTGATCGTACGCCAACTGACGTTTTAGCGTGATATGACCTTAAGCCCAGAATATTGTATAAAATGTATGAATACAATAGAATAGTTAAGAAATAAATACTTTTTGGCATATATTAGGAGACAGATGATCTCAGATATTTTCACCAATTCAATCATATCTGTACACCCCACGAAGACACAGATATTATTTTCATTTGAGGGAAGTGCACGTAATCTGGTTTTGATCAGACACATTGCTTGAAAAAACAAGTAGCACGATTGAAAAACATAAATTCTTCCCGCAAATGTTTATACAGAAATGGATATGATTTCGGATCGAAACACCAGTGTGGAGGCTATGCTTTGTTTATCATTGAATCATTTTGAAGAGATAGGGTTTTAATACAGAAATACAGAAAGCAAATATTGTCTTTGTATCGTGAAATAAGAGAAAATTTTCAAAATTTTAATTATAAAAATGGCAATGTATCGAAATCGAGTGGGACATATATGAGGTTCATTGGGTAACCCCAAGAGTATCTATCTATCTATCTATCTATCTATCTATCTATATATATATATATATATATATATATATATATATATATATATATATATATATATATATATATATATGAATGTGTGTGTATGTGTGTGTGTCTGTCTGTGTGTGTGTGAATTCTAACTGTAACAGCAAAATTGGACAAATCGTGTAAAAGCAAAATCGTCCATTAGTTAGATTAAGCTTTGAACCGATGTATCTTAGAAACGATTAAAGATATCTTACTGGAATTCTCTAAGTTTTTTTTAAAACTAACGATCTTTGAGCAATAAGAATGTATAATTACTGTCCAAGCTTAACAGAGGATAGACAAGAAATAGATCATAAACGAAAATGTCATGTTCATGATTAAATGATCATAACTAAGATTCGGGAGCTAATGAAGGATTGAAATATGGTTCTTATTATATATATATATATATATATATATATATATATATATATATATATATATATATATATGTGTGTGTGTGTGTGTGTGTTATTCAAGATCATTTTCCAAATTATTCAAGTTAATCTTTGCGCTCTCTAATCTTCTATCTTTCTGTCCTGGAATAACAAGGTGCCTCATATGTTTCGCGTACAATTTCATTTTCAGATCTTTTTGTGGACTGTCATAGCTGAAACTCCACTCTCACATGCCAAACGTCTTATTGAGAGAGTTGGATCTTTTCTAATCGCTATCTTTAGCTCTAAGTTGAAATGATGATACCTTTCCTGTTGTGACCTCTTGATCCAATTTTCCTCTCTTCTGTTCCCGATGTTTTAAATTATTCAGCGTTTTCAAGATGATTCTTGAATGGACATTGAAGCCAGACTATGAATGTTGATCCAATTAGTGAAGGCCTGGATGATCTTCGTCCTCTCAGCATTGCTCATTTAGGAAGAGAGTGGGCGTGGCACAAAACGATTGAACCTGTTCTCTTTCTAACAGAATAGCTCAAAGGGTTTTTCAGTAATTCTTACGACAAATGGTATTAAAATCGCTAAGCGTCTTATCTGAAAACTTGGAAAAATAAATCCAATTAGGTTAGGGTTTATTTTTTTACATATTCAACATTTTGTCGATTGGACAACTATGCTATTACACGATACACGATTATATAGAGAAATAAGAGAAATATAATATATATTCACTATTCATTTAACTTCATAAATAAATTTGTTTGCTTCAATCCATATTTTCAATTCAATATATATATATATATATATATATATATATATATATATATGAGTGTGTGTGTGTGTATTCGTGTGATGTATGAATTGTCTAAATTATGCAAAAATGAAAATAACACTGACATCAAATTTTAACAGATATATTTACCAACATTACACAAACTATCTTGTAATACTAATGCTTAAATTTATTCAACAAAATTGCCATTGTCTTCAACCACGGCCTCTAGACGACTTCGGAATCTCCAGAATCTCTTCTGGAAGGTCTCCTTGTTTAAGTTGGTGAATGCTGCCATAATCTTTTTCTTTAGGTTATATTTGGTATTATAAGGGTTTTTTTAGTCCCTCGTTCAACTGCACGCCACACCTAATAACCAAGTGGATTACAATTTGGGCAGTGAGTGTGGCCAGATGTAAGGGATGAGGTGGTCGCAGAGATTGTCTGATAGCCATGAATGGGTTCTGCTGCATATGTGGCATGGTGCAGAATCCTGTTTCCAGACATGTTTTTCTAGGACCCTGATTCTTCACCCAGAGCAGCAATACTTCCTCGAGTCACTTGCTGTAGAAAACCGTGTTGAGTCTGAAGACATGTGGGAAGATGAATGGAGTCATATCGTCGCCATCACTATTGATCCTCCAAACACCATGATGTTGACAGGAGATATCATCCAACTCTTTGCGAATCCACTGCAATGTCCTCAGATCGACACCTGAAATGTTCGTATTGGAACTTCTGGTGCGAGTGAATCTATCTATCTATCTATCTATCTATCTATCTATCTATCTATCTATCTATCTATCTATCTCATATCTATATCATAGTCTATATCTGTCTGTCTATCTATGTTCATATCTATCTATGTTCATATCTATCTCAATGTTTTCATTCTATCTATCTATCTATCTATCTATCTATCTATCTATCTATCTATCTATCTATCTATCTATCTTGGTCAGTTCATATCTATCTATCTATCTATCTATCTATCTATCTATCTATCTATCTATCTATATCGGTCTTTTCATATTTATCTATCTATCTATCTATCTATCTATCTATCTATCTTGGTCTGTTCATATCTATCCATCTATCTCAGTCTGTTCATATCTAAATCATAGTCTATCTGTCTGTCTATCTATGTTCATATCTATGTTCATATCTATTTATGTTCATATCTATCTCAATGTTTTCATGCTATCTATCTATCTATCTATCTATCTATCTATCTATCTATCTATCTATCTATCTATCTATCTTGGTCTGTCTATTCATATCTTACGCTGCCATCCTTTTTTGTCCTAATTTCTATGCCTGTTGAAGCACCAAACACAGAATCCCAGACATCACCAGGTGTAGTTGAAGGAGAAATTGGAGCACCTTCATTCAGTTAATCTTCTAGACCATGCAAAGCGGCGTGTATATAAGCAAAGGTGTGAAGAAATGGTCATTCATCTGTTAAATATTTCCTACTACATCCTGTTTTTTTCCATCCAGAGAACGAGCAACTGATGATAAGGATAATGATGATGGCATTGGAATTGATAGTTGACGTTAAAAAAATTCAACATTCAAAACCATGTGTTCTCCGAATTAAGACTCACGTTAATTATTTCCTAAACAGAAACTATGATTTGAATTTGGAATTATTTTCTAGCACATACCATCAGGAATCTTTCATAACAATTCACACTCTAAAATTAATAAACTCTAAACATATCAAATAACTCTTTCATTAGATCTGACGCTCCAGAACCACACAAAACTTTACCAAAATACACACATTTACTACTATTATCATCATCGTCTTGTCACTGAGATCAGGAGAATATGCACTTGGCCTGACCACATACCTTACTTTCCGTGTCAGTATCAGCTCCAATACACTTATTGTCAACCTTGTCAGTAACCATTAAAATGTTTGTGATGCACACATACATATACACGCAAACATACACACACATAGACACACACATAGGTAAATATACGAAAGACCAAAAGAAAGGCCACCTATCTCTTAGAATTCCTGTCATAATAACAATGACATCAAATGTTAATAAAAAAAAAAGACTTGACGTTTGCTGAAGAGAATCTATTTAATTGGATAGAAAATTGTGTAGTTCAGTATATCGGTGAGAAAAAAGATAAAGAAACTAATAGAAACTGATGTTTTCTGAAAATGCAATGTTTGTAAGGTGAGCCGTTTACATTTTGAGGTCTGACCTTTGACATTTCTGTGTCACTGCCAATTATTTCGTTCCAGTCCAAAACCATCGTTACCTCGCAGACGCCCTTTCTCCACCATTACAAGAGAAATGGATTATTTTTAGACACATCATTAATTCTGGTTTTGGATTTTTCACTTATTTTATGCCATCATTCCTGGATAACACGTCACATTAAGCTGAGGTTATACTTTGAAATTATCGTTGTTTAAAACGCATTAATCAATGAAACTCTACCGTAGAGTACATTTTTAAAGAATCTATATCTGGTAGATGTTGTGCGTTCATGTTGTCCATTGGAAAAGGCATGAATCCACGTCCTTACAGCTCTTGGTGTAATACGAAGAAAAATTAAGATTACTTGCCTTAATAAAGCAACCAATTTAGTGGATTGACAACTCTGAACTAAAAACTACATAGAAATCAACTCATTACTATCATTCAAAAGAAATTCTTTTTACATGCTCTATCCGATCATGGCTCTCCACAATATCTTATCCTTTGTAGCTATAAGCTATCTTTATACTCTTAATAACATTATCAGTTACGTTTCTACCATAACTCGTTATTTAGGTTCCACGGTACTTCTCTGTAAGTTGCTCTCGTCAGTGTCAAATTCTCCAAACCCTTTTTCCTCATTATGAATTCCAGAAATTTAATCTCTGTTCTTTTTTATTCTAAGTATAAGTGTCATCTTTGTTCGCATTTTTATTAAAAATTCCTCCTTCCTCTTATGTTTCGTCTACGGTATTCTCAGTATGTTTCCGAAAAGCTACATTACTGTTGCCTGATCGTTCCTCTTGATCTATATGAAAATTGTTCAGCTTTCATGGGGTTGATACAAAATAGTAGTTTCGATCACTTGTCATTGTTTATAACATAGATTTCCTGTTTCTTAATACATTTAGATATTTAATACAATTGAAAGACATTTTTCGCTATTCCAATGCGGTTCGGCTTCCGATGTCACAAGAACAGTTATAGCATTTTATAGATATGGAAGTAAACGTAGGCATCGTTAGCTACACCCTGCAAAATGAACGTCATTAAAAATTATGAAAATCCAAGTACGAGAGAGAGAGAGAGAGAGAGAGAGAGAGAGAGAGAGAGAGAGAGAGTACTTGCATGCAAGGGCAAATTAAGCCTCGTATTTTGGGACATCACCCCGACCTTTCATTATTATTAGTAGTAGTAGTAGTTTTATTTGTCTATATTTCTGAGATGAGGTATTATGTACATTATTTGCATCATTCAGACTATTGTTTTCATCTTTGTCGCCATAGTTATTACAACGTTTTGGCTATCTCCTGTTAATTTCCATCCGAAAAATTCTCCACTGCCATAACCCGGTATTGAACCTGTGACTGAGTCTAAGCAACGCCTTGAGAACTTGGAGAGGGGAATTAACAGGAGATAACTGATAACTGACATCCATTAGACATGGCATGTGGAACTAGAAAAGTCTATCCCAGTGAGCGAAATAAAGTGTTCAGTTCGACATTCCAACGAGCTGAAGAAGGCCGGAGTGTACAACGGCTAAAACGTTGTAATAAATATGGCGATAAAGATGAGGACAATAGTCCGAATAATGTAAATTATTATTATTATTATTATTATTATTATTATTATTATTATTATTATATATGAGCAATGTTAGGAAATTCTCAGTCTCATCCATTTATCATAAATAATCCGTGTTGGGGAATATATCCTCGGTTGGGCCGAGTAATTTTAAACAGACCTTCGTATTTCTCAGCGTTTAAGAACAATTTCGGGAACTATTCAATCTAAAGAATTGTATAAAATAGAATAATGCATATAAATTGATTGTATCTTTAAATAATCCACAACTTTAACACAGTCTTCCGTCAATAATAAATAAAGCAAGAGATTCAAAGAAGGAAATGCAGGGTTAACCTAGCGAAATGTATCAGGAATGATTTAAACATAGAAGTGCATTTAATAGATTTCTAATGATTTCTAAAGATGTGCACTCATAAGAAAGAAAAAATATTGTAAGTGGTCAAAAACTAAAACAAATATTACGGAAATAAAAAGTATTCTCTAAAAAATTGCTTAATAGGAGAATTTTATAAATCTCAAACGATAGAATCACTGTCTGGTCGGTCAATAAATACTGAATGTTTCCTTATAAGGAAACGGCTAATATTAACATGATATGAATGTATTGCTGATGGTTTTATTATAGATATGTATTGCCATTGATTTTTATTGTCGAAAAGAATTGATATTTATATCACACTAGAAGAAAGAATGGCAGAATGAAAAGCAATTGTGTTATAGAAAGCAAAAGATAAAATTAAATTAGATGTTAATCGATGTTTTCGCAATGAAATTCACATTAACCAAGCGATACTTGTAAAATGTTCAATTATATTCGCACTTATATGAACAAGACATCATATATATTATCTGTAGTGATTAAAAACTCTTGATAACCGGTGCTCGGAATGTTAGATATTATTATGCAAACAAAGTACAATGTAAATTTATTAAAAAATAAAGCCGAAAGTGATAGGCCACAGAAAAAAAAAAATTAATAAAATGTATTCTATTATGAAATAGACAAAGTCGGACAATTATTTATGACATTTTTATGTTTATACATTCTTTCTATAGATACAAATATTTAAGTAAATGCTATAAACAATATTAAACAACATTTACCGGACTGAATGTCCGAGAAATTTTGACAGAAAATATTCGTCCTCCAACAGGATTCGAACCTCTAACCTATACGGAACCATAATTTAGCTTGACGTGCCCTTACCGATTTGGCCACAGAGGCGCGTTCGATTAGCGATGTCGAATTTACTGTCTTTAAACTTCAATCTTTCATGAATCTCTCACGTACATTCATATCTGCTCATGGCGTATCAAATGTAAACAAATGACGTCACACATTATGAAATGGACAAAAGTCCGACAATTATTTACAATTAAAGGATACCGATAAAAATGTCTCCTATAGGTGAAACTATAATAGTTATATTTTACAAATAAATATGGCCTCCTTGATATTCTATGACCTTGACCTTCATCACTCATTCAATCATTGATCGTGTTATCTGCTCTTCAGTTTTAACATTAGTCACTGCAATTTTTTTTTGTTCTGTGCTTTAAGAGAGTTTTCTGTTTCCACGTCCATATCCTTTATAGATGAAAAACACGTTTTACACTTGAGAAACTGATAATTATCTCATTAATATGGTGCCACAAGATGGACTATAATCAGTTTTTCAGAATTAGAAGTTGTAATGTCTTGTCTTTATAGACTTTTTAGGTTAAAGCGTTTTGTTTCTAACCCGCAATACACAAAACTATTGTCCATCACTTATCTCGTGGCAATCATCAAATATATAAGGACTTATAATCTTACAGCCTAAAATAATATCTCAAAACATTACTACACCTCTAGAGAAGTCTACGTTGGCTAACAACATTCCATGAAGAACTTAGCAACTAGTACATTTGTTTCATCTACGAAGAATCTACAGTTATCACTAAAATTACTACTGAGAAACTTTTATTCATCTAACGTATATACTGTTGTATAAGACGACTTCATGCATAGTTCGAGCCCTGAATTTTGTGGTATGAATTTTTACTTGCTCCCGAAAAATATTACCTGAGTATAAGCAACCGGTTACCGAAAATGCGTTGATTTTAACCGCTTCAAAAAGATTACCTGTGTATAGAGTGACCCGCTATATTTGGCGTATAAATCTGATAGTAACAATTCGCACTATATTCAAGTATATACATTATGACTTTGTCCTTTATGCCAGTTTCTGTTTGTGATGTCTCCTGAAATGTCATAGACTAGTCGTTTTTCATCTCTTTAGACAATCTGCCTAAGAATCTGTATCTGTTCTTTGTTTACTTTCTCAACACGAGGTTTTTTTGAACTATTTTTCTCTACTGTTGGAAACACTTTTCTTCATTCTCTTTTATTTGAGTTGTAGAAAACCGATTTTTACTGACTCTCTTCAAGAATTTGTTTTTGTTCTGGTTCTTATCTCGTTAATTCTTCAGCTGACTTTTTATATTACTTTATAG